CAAATGACACTTGAAACAGAAGATTGAGAGTTTGAATTAAATATACTTTACAGTAGGTATTGGCAAAACACATTTTTTTCAACAAATGTTAAAAAAGATTTTTAGAAAAAAATAAGGCTTATTTACAGAGTATTATAAAAATTACAATAAATTTAAATATAAGGAGAAAAAATGGACTCAACCAAAAATAACAAAAACCCTATTTTAGAAACACTTAGATTTATACATATAAACAACTATTAATTTAATAAAAACAAGTCTCATGGTAAAAATGTTAATAATTAACAAACATTATTGTTTCAATTATAATAGTATTGTGCAATGCAATTTTTAAAATTATTTTAGTATTCCTATGAGCTCTATAACACTCATTTGTAAACTACTGAATGTTTTAGCCAACTAAGTGGGATCTTATCACCTCAAGAGGTTTGCGCAATGCGAAAAGTGTTGGCCAACTTATCACTTTAAAAATAAACACTCAATAGTTGTCATATATAAAGCGGACCATTCAACTTGCAGGCAGTCACAAATTAATCAAAGTTCACAATGGCTGCGTTCGCGAAATTTTCCCTAGTTTTAATATTGTGTTTAGCTTTTTGCCTGGCTGGAATCCTGGCTAAACGTCCAACTCCTCAGGAAGCCGAGGAGAACATGTCCAGGTTTATGAAAGTGCTTCGTCAGGAGCAGATTAGTGCCGGCTCGCCGCGATTCAACGATGTGCTGGGCAACGCTAGGGCTATAATCGAATACCAGGATAGGGGATTCATTGGAGTGCGCAGCATTTTCCAGTGGATGACCAGTCCGAATCCGCGCAACGATGGCGTCTATAATTTCCTGCAGTTCTACACCAGCGAATCGAGTGGATATATAGGCATACAGAACTACGAGAAGAGCTCTAAATATACGATTCTGTTTTCCGTTTGGGATGCAACATCTGCAAGTCCGGGTGGTAATTTCGAGTGCAGCACCTTTGGAGGCGAGGGCATCGGGTATAAGTGCTTCAATGGCACTTTCCCGCTGATCAGCAATGCCATTTACTTTCTGGACGTGCAAATCGAGGGTTCTACCTTCAGGGGATACATATCAGAGCCGCAGGAGAATCTGGACAGCGTGACCAGCGATCAGGTGACCCGTCATTTAATTGGCGAGATCACCACCCCACATGCCAAGTTGACTAACCTCATACCCTTCGGCTATTACAATGAGAACTATCGGGATAAGGACACCTGCAAAGAGGCATTCGAACTGGTCACCGTCAATCAGGCTCCGCATCAATATACGAAACACGGCCATGCTAATACCAAATTCACAGAGGCTTACCTCTACAATTCCGAGTGCGAGGTGGAGAACATTTTGGTGGCCCTCACGGCGGACAAGAAGAGCACCATCTACTTCACCAGGCCCACTGCATTGGATCTATACAATTGAAGATAAAATCAATTACTTATTGATTTAATTTGGTTATATACTCATTCGGCTAACTTTTTTTTTGTTTTTTATCATTACTTTTTATACTTTACATACCTTTTAGCAGGAATATAATTTACAATACGGAAGAAAATTCAACATGATCTAGAAATATAAATATTTATTAAATAATATTCCATCCCAACTAATGTGCGTTTTCTATGCTATCCCTTGTCTTTCAATAAAACAAAGTATAGATCTTGGAAAAACAATCCATTAACCTTACAGCAACATCTTTGTTTATCCCCAATTCCGAACAACTCATCGCGTTTTACCTAAAACTCAGGCTCACTTGTTCATCAGCTAAATCTGTGTGACTGGAGGTTTTCAGGAAACTTATCTTGACCACACTTCGCAGGCAGGCTCCTTTTTGCTAGTCCCATTTCTGCTCATTAAGACCGATCCTCTGGCTCGATGCGTTTTTAGAATGTCCTACGCAGTCCGGCACTAACTTTTTATTGTCTGTGCGGGCAGGAAAAAATAAATGAACTGTCCCATTGTCTTGTGGGATTAGGGCTCCAGCAGCCTAGCTTCTGGATATTGCTTCTGTTGTAACCTAGGGGCTCCTGCTCCGATGGTGGGTGATAAATGTTGAGAGGCGAGCGGCACAGACTCCATTGAAATTAGTTATTCACGCGGATCGTTTAAGGCAATCCAACACCAGAAGGCAAAAACCAGGTAGCTGCCTGCTGCTCTACTGTTGTATTTATTTAGGATACCTTTTAATATCAGACACTAAAGGGTGTGTAGTATTTTTCAATTGAATTAATAATTAATCAGTTGAAAAGAATAATAAAATATTTTTGCTTTCTTTATATTCTCCTTAAAAGCTTACGAATTTGGGATTGTTAAATTAAAATGATGCCTACGGAGAATTTATATATAATGTTTTAGTACAATAAGTACAAGTACAATAACAATATATTTTTATAAAAGGGATGGAAGCATTGCATACTTTTTGGTGACTTATTATTTTTAAGATTATGTATTTTAGTAATCTATTTACATAGATTAACTAAGCTGAATTTAATTTACATATATTCTGATTGTAATATTTGTTTGCTTTGTGTTATAACTTGATATATTGGTACAATTTTATGAACTAAAACTTTAATTTAAGCTTACTGTTAAAACGTGGTTAAGTAAAGTGATATAATTCTGTATAACAGGTATCTGATAGTCGAAAACCCCGTACGAGTTCATCCTTTTTTTTGTTGGCCATTGCTCTTGGTCATGGCTTGTCAGTGATGGCTTCTCGGCTGCCGCTTTTGTTTTAATGATCGTGCCCGGGATGCTCATTTACCGCTGCAGTTGGCCAACTGCAAAACGGCAAACTGCAAACGGGATGACTCCTTGGCTTTGTGCCTCTTATCAGTGCAACATTTTGCATGTTGGCCAGGAAAGCGCAGTGGCCACGGCCACGTCCTCCTCCTCGAGCTTGAGCATTTGTCACAGTCCTTCCCCCGCCGCAAAACAAGGCAACAGACATACACACTTAACATGTGTCTTTTTATGTATGCTTTTAGCCAGTTTTATCGCCGGGCTTTTGGCTACTGCGGCGCTCTAAAGTCTCTTGAAATCCCCTCCTCTAATGGCTCATTTCCTCGAGCGGCCAACAACAACGGTAATTAACCTGTGCATGTTAATGAACTTCAAACTGCAAACTCCTTCGCCACAACACTGAGATAAATAGTAGTCAAAACATACTTAACTTATTTAAATTGACAAAGGATTACAAAAAAAAAATATATATATTACTGAACTATATTAACTATTTCAAGCAATAAAAACATTTTTTTTAAATTTAAATTTTAAAAAGTTATAATAACACTTAAAACACACTTTAATTATAAAGAAAAATGTACTATATTTAAAATTTTGTCAAACTTATATTTTATACGTTAATTAGTATTAGTGATTTTAAAACAATAATCTGCCAGGAAATTGTTCCCCTACATTCCTTCCAAAAATATGGTAGGAAAAGATCGCCTATCTCGTTTTCTCAGTGCACTCCCGACCAACTGTCCAAAGTTTATGTAGATTTTTGTCTTCTCTCCTCACGTTGGCGCTAATGCAAATGTGAAAAGGCATTTTGTGAGCCAAAATGAGGTTGTTGTCGTGCTGCTGACAATCTAATTAGAATACAAAATGCTTTTAGACTCCAAACTGCAACTTTGGCTTCAGCTGCTGCTCCTTAGCTTCAGGTCCAGTGGGTCCTCAGTGGGTTGGTTTCAAGTTCATGGTGTTGACATATGTAGTGGGTAGTTGGGTAACCCCCTTGTATGTATATCCCACTCTCCTGTTGAATAACATTTTGACAGCGCATTCGCTGGGATTTGATTTTACTGACGAGGACATTATTGTGATGAGATGGTTGGTCGGGAAAGTCAGAGTCATTTGATGGCCGCGATTGAGATGCAGCCATCGATGAACTGCGGGCCCATATTGTCAACTTACATTCATAATGAGTGGAAAGTTGAGGCTGGCAGGAAATGTAATACACCAGCAGCCAGCTTATCTAAATTTTTTTAATGGAAAATTAAATCTGTTGACTAAAGCCTCTAGGCATTAACCTTTTGTGCTGCCGTTTTTTATGTTCAATTGATTTAATCTATTGAACAGTAGTTACTTTAATGAATCGCATTTCGGAATAAAGTAAAATAGTTATTTAATTTACATAAAGTGAATGGGTTCGAGAAATAGCTTAAAATTAAAAATCTACTTCGATTGTCCGATTATATTATATTATATGCATATATTAATGGAAAGGTATTTATGACTTGCACGATGCGAACGTAAATTTAAAAATGAGGAGCAAAATACGAATTATATTGTCGCAGTGCATGCTGATAGATTCTCAGTATATATGTACACTTATTTTGATTAGTCAATTTTCAGACAGCACTTCAATATAGAAATGCCTTATCAAATTTCTTTATATGGCTGCCCTGTTCTAAGAGTCAGAGCATCACTCAGAACGAGATTACAGATGAGTGGAGAGCCACCAATGTTGGAATTGTCAAAGTATTTGTTTAGGCACACGCTGCTCGGATCAAAGGCCATTAAATAAGTTAAATGGGGCAGGGGACTTTTTCAAATCAAATTAGTTGAACATAATAATATTCAAATTTATATACACTCAAAATACTATTGCTGCCATGATTCTTATCACTTTATTTTGAATAGAGAGAAAGCCTTTCTATAAGCCAATGCATATTTTTTAACGTCCATTTTTCGAAAATTTAGAAAAAGATTTCTATTGCAAAAAATATTTCAATGGCGTTGTAAATTAACGGCAAGCATTGTTTTTGGGGACTAGCTAACCAGCTCCAAAAAATGCTAAACAAATAAACAAAAGAAAGATCAGGCCAAGGTCCCCATTGCCGATTAGAATTCAGATTTTTCAGTTTTGTGTTGAAATTGTGTCGTCTCATTCAGACGATTAATCGAACTACGCCCAGCAAAATCCGCTTGGGGTATATAGATTTCGACGGGAAACAACGAACATTAAAAACACAATCGTATTATTTATTACTTTGTTTTGGCGGCAGTCGCTGAAATCTTGCTATAAAAGCCCAGCCGCCCAACGTCGAATTAGTTAGAACGCTTTCGACAGTGTAAACAATCAATCCACCAAAATGAAGTTCTTCGTAAGTTTTCAAAAGCCTTGACAAGGATTTTGGTGGGGCAAAGGACTAACGATTGTCTCATCCTTTTCTCCCATTAGATTGTCTTCTTCGCCCTGATCGCTGTGGTCTTAGCCGGTGGTTATGGTCAGGGAGGACATGGCCACGGAGGACATGACCAGCAAGGACATGGTCAGGTAGGACATGGAGGATTTGGTGGTCACGACCAGCAAGGATTCGGACAAAATGGTCACGGACAGCAAGGATTTGGTGGTCACGGCCAGCAAGGATTCGGACACGACGGACACGGCCAGCAAGGATTCGGTGGTGGACACGGAGGAAGCCACGGTCAGCAGGGTGGACATGGTCAGCATCATGGACGTTACTAAAACAATCGGGCAATTAAAATATACTGAAAACTAAAAACTAAAATGACTAGTGTTTTTATGTACCTACGAAACCCGTTTTTAAATTCTTAGTTAAGGTGTAGCAGGAAGTCGATAAAACAACAGTAAGATGTTAACAAAATATCAATCAGATATTAATAAAATATACTTCAGCTATTAAAAAAATAGCAATCAATGAAAAAATATCAATATCAATCGTCAAGACTTTTTTTTGCTCCTTAAATGGTGTTTTGTTGTGATTCACTCTTGGAAAATAAAGTCTCTAAAGAAAGCAAAGCAAAATTTTAAAATAAATCTCAATCTTACAATTTTTATTTGAGAATCTTAAGATTTTTTTGAACTATATGCATAATTCGAAGTACAAAATAATTTGAGATAATTTTGTGGAAAGTAATTTTCTTTACCCCGCCCATGTCTCATGCGTCACGTAGTTCACCCCATCCGCTCCACCTTGTACAACAAGTTTCAACTTTGAACTTCTACAACCGATTCGATGTGCCCACTCATGCCTGCCCCAAGTGGTTTTTTGTACCAGGAACTGACATCACATTGTATGGTTTATGGTGTATGGTATATGGTATCTGGACGGAGGAGGAGGAGATCACAGCACGTGCAGGGAGTCAACAAGGCAGGCATACACACATATCGGGCTAATTAAGCAGACTTCAAATGAAAGCCAACAAAAGAAGAGATTCGATCGTGGGCCAAGCGACACCACCTGGAGCTGAATCTCGAGATGGAGATGGAGTTGGAACTGTAGGTGAAGCTGAAGCTGAAGAGGGTTTGTAGAGCACCCACAGAGATGGCGGGATTGCGGAGCACCCATGGCACGCGATAATCAATCAAAAGCCATTAAAGCCAAGCGTTTCAGCCGAGACAAAGACAATCGGTGCGGAGTAGAAAGCATTTCGCTGGAAAGAAAAGGCAGAGAAAATGCTGGGGGTGGGTGTGGCAAAATCAAATATGCGTCAAGACAAGTTAAAGATCAAAATCAAGATCAAACAGAGCACAAGATCAACTGAAGGGGGAGCAAAAAAAAATAAAAACAGTTGCGGTAGATGATTGACAGAATTAGAATAGGAAATCGTGAGCGGTGCGCGGTGGAGTCCCCTCTTAACGATTACGAGTATTATTAAATGACCCAATTGCGGCTAAACGGCATTTGGTTTGGCCCAAGAAAAAAGTGAATGGAGAAGAATGTCGCCTGTCTGGGCTTCGGATTCGGATTCAGTTTCAGTTCCAGCCACCTCCTCCTTCTCCTTCTCCTTCTCCTCTGGCCAACTGTCGCTCAGAGTTGGCAAATGCAAATTAAACCCCACCACCACATCGACTTCCCAGTGCAACTTTCTAAATGAAATTCCGATCGTACTAGGTCCACCACCCTCTCCCCCTTCCACTTCCCCTCCTGACCCCTTTGGAATCGCCCAGCTTTTCCGTTCATGTGTGCGCAAAATTAAAGAAATAATTTCGAGTAAAAATATACCAGCTGATTGTCACCGGACAGGCAGGCACAAAATTAGAGCAAAGACTTCATGGCTCTGACTAAATCAAAGACTTGACATCTCGAGCTCCTTTCTAAAAACGTATTTGCTAAATTTAAATTTGCGTCTGCGCCTGGAGGGCTTTCTATTACACTACTTTATTTAAAAATTTTTTTTTTCAATATACATTTTAAATATTAAAATAAGAAAGGAAATAAATTAAATTAAGGTATCAGCAACAGAGCTATGTCTATTTTTGTTAATAAATATTTGACATTGACTATTTATCGTTTACATTTCTGCTATTCAATCTGATAAAGAAAAATCCTTTAAGAGTGTAATGTGATATGAAAGAAAATAAAATATTATTAATTTTTAAACTTGATAAAATAATATAAAAATATGCCTTGATTTGAAATGTATTTTCTAAAATCTTTCAACCAGTAAAGAGTCCAATTACATTTTTTCTGCTCTTGAAGAAGCTTTAACCAAATTTCCTCTGAGTGTATAGTTTATCTACCAATTGTCCCCCCAGTGGGCTCAATTAGAGACGCATTCGCAAATTGCCTTGCACTTTTATTGTCACCACATCTTGGATTTGAGTGCGGTGGCATTTTGTCGCGACGCCTGCAACGACACTGTCTGGGTCCCATCATCAGTCATTCGTGGACACTCCAGGTCCAGGTAATTGCCCCCGACATGGTCCGCCGGACTAAGCCCCTGCCACTTGTAGGCATTTTGTTTGACTTGGATTATCGCTAAGTGCATGGGTTTAACATTCCGCGGATGTCCAGCTAAACGACGGATTAAGCGGCACCACTTGTTGGGTGTTGTTCGATGCGATCCCGTCCTTGCATTACAAGGAATTATTGAGAGCAGCCTGAGGGCGATGGGAAGAGGGACCACTCTCAAGTCACAGGGAATTTAATTGCAATTTTTCGTGTTTATTTACAGCATTGTTTTTAGAAATTTTGTATTTATAAAAAAATTTGGCAAGCATTAAAACATTTTTTAAATACAGAAAGAACTGCTACATATTTATAGTTTAAAAATCAAATTTATATTTTTAATATTATAACGAATCATTTTAATAATAAAGAAATGAAATATATATATATAAAATTCGCTTTGTCTAAGTTCAAATATAATTGCTATTTATACTATTCAAAATGTATTTCTACTTTTCATCAAAGATAACTTATTCTAACCTTTCTCCGCTGACTTTTAAATTATAAGCGAATTATTATGCTCTTCTTTGGCGGAGCACAAACAGTTTAAGGCCAATCTATTCGGCGCATTTCACACTCATGATCACCGTAAACGGAGTACCCGCATCCCATGCCAAGTGCCCATTAAGCCGCATATATAAATCACCATTAATTTGACAGTGGATTTTTACATAACTCAGGCCAACAGGTGAAAGCGAAAAGCGCACAGCTGCCGGAGGACAGTGGAGAGATCATGGAGTGTCATGGAAAACTCGCCACTTGCACTCGTGGAAATTGACTGGTCGGTTCCCCTTGCATCCCCCCTCCCTTGGCATGCAAAATCGAATTGTGTGCTAATATTTGGCCAAAATGCAAAGAGCTCGCGGTTATTGCCGCGCCACGAACATGACGAAGTGACTCCAGATGGGGGGAAGTTTTCAATGTTGCCGTTGCAGTAATAAAAATCATTACTTTCAAGCCTAAATTGGCAAATGTTGGCCGAGGGAGGTTGAGGATGCGGGAATTTTTGCCTGATCGACATGCAATGTCAGGGAAATTGCTGTCAAATGGGTAAAAGTTGTGCTCAACACTAAGAAAAATAATGGAAATATTTTCAAAAATTCTTTTTAAAGCTACAATGTTATTTACTTTCAATGGTGTCAATTTCAAATGCTAAAAGATCTATATTTTCAGCCAAAAAGGTATTTTTGCAAGCATTTATTTAGGAATTTTATTTTTTAAATTTAGAACAATTTTGCCATTAGAGTTTAAGTAATATTGCTGAAATCATTCTTTTAATGAATAAAACTTGTTTCGTTAGAACTGAGATTGAACCCGCTACCACTTTTCCAGAGAGATGCCACAGAAGAAAGCTCACACGACATTTGATACGATCAGTAGCAATGGGGGAAAACGGAGCCGTTGAAAAACACGGCTTTTGTTTTAGCCCTCAACGCAGACGAGATGTCCCAGCTAAAAGCTTTTCCCGAAAAATTCCAGACCCCGATCCCCACGCCACATGACAGCCACAATTTCTCAACTCACTTCGCGGCAAATAGAGAGATCTTTCACTTTCACCGACGACGCACATTCTTGGAGTGCCGATCCATGGAGGAACCATTCAGGAAGGTAGCCGCTTTAAAATCCCGCTTGCAGTCCTCATCCGTGTAGTCATGCCGCCAATGATCACCATATCCGACCAAATAGGAGCTCATTTCCTTTCGCTGGTTTAAAAACAATGAGGTGCGAGATTTGGGCAAGACGAGCATGTTGACCAGGTGCATCTGCATGCCATAGTAGAACTCCCTCTCGGACTTCTTGTTCCGCACTGACTTAACTGCGGTACTGGGAAGGATGCTCAAATCGGAACTGGGCTGGTTGAAAAGTGTGACTGTGGATTTGGGAGACTGTTCCTTTCTGAGCTGGTCAGTTTGTTCTATTTGGATGGGCATCCAGGGCTGCAAAGTGCGCATGCCATCCGCCAAATTGTCCAAGCAAGTCTCCATACTGGTCAGAAGAGAGCTCGGCGTCAGTTTGTCATTTAAATGGAGTGATTTGGTGCCTTCATTATACTTGGCCATGGCTTTGGCTAGTTCTTCACTAATTTCCTTTTCTCCTTTCCGCTTTTGTGGCTTCGGCTTGGATTTGTAAAAGAAAGTCATTGAAACTGTAGGTGTCATCACCGTGCGCCGTTCTATATCCCCCTCTAGATGCTCCCCTGAAGGTGTTCGGTACTCATTTGCATGGGCCTTTATGTCCTCGATCAGATCCGATGAGAGGGGTACAAGGCGCTGGCTACGCTCTGGTTCCACGGGCAACATTTTTCTGAATTTATACCTATTACTTTTAATTTTGATACAAACAAGGGGCCAAAATAAATGGAACTCAATCTGGTTACACAAATGTATATATACCTAACGTCATTTTTGAATTGAAAAAATGGGGATCCCGATTTGAGTCTTTAAAAAAAGTTTGATTTTATGATAAAACCAGAACTTCTGTCGAAACACAAAAAAAAACCTATAACTATTATTTTCTGTTGGTTTATAATTAATGTATAAGTTTCCTGTTCTTAGGACTTGTGTCAACTACCATGATTGCAATATATTAATATTAAAATTTCAATATGTTAACTACAATGATTGGTTGATTTAGAACGTCCGTTCCGATTAAAAATTTAAATTTCCTAATTTTAAACCATTTTTGTGATAGTTAAGTTATAGTTTTAAAAAGCACCTTTCAATATATTGTCAAAGTTTTTATCCAAATAAATTTAAATCGTGTATACAAAAGACACTAGGATAAGTCACGGTTCCACATCCGGACTTATCCTTTTT